GTGTAATTTAAGAGTTAGTAAAAAAAATGTTATGAATGGAGGCGGAGGCAGCCTAATGGTCAGAAAAAGAATTTTGTGGGTGGAAGGTGGCAGGTTTAAATCCCCCGTATACAGGAAAAACCCTCCACCCTGCATTATTACTCTGAGAAGTTGTGTTCTTAGTCAACCACCTTGCTTTAAAGACAAAGCAAACACAGGAAAATCTTTTAAACCATACTAGAGTAAGATATATGACAGAAAATCAAGAGGCATAAAACTACTGGAAATCAAGTCAAACCTGATATGATCAAGGCTCTGTTAAAGGCTATCTTTACCTTAATCTGCCACAGACTCTTGACTGGCATTTGGAATCATCAAAACATTCGTGGTTTCAACCACTGAATTAGACTTGAAAGCAAAAGCTAAAGGGAGCCATTTGGTTTCAATAGCTGTATTGCCATCTATTTGTCACGAGTGTGTTTGAGGCATCAGCCCGGCTTCCCAAAAGACGAGCGTGAAGAGACATCTTTCACTTATAGCTTGTTCACACAATCACAAGATAAAGAGATCACTTAACATAAGCCAACTGCAGCACAACTGTGACACTGACTGAAGGCAAGTTAAAAAAAACAAAGAGAAAAAAAAGACAAATTGCTGAGACACTGGTTTGTTCCATCCATAAGGCCACAGGTTTACATCAACGTGGTTTCCAAGCACCGACGGTGCAGCTGACTCAACAGATGAAATGATAAAACTATAAAGGCCGCAGCTCACCAATACTAAGGTAACAACCCCGGTGGAATTTATTAAGCTCTCTCCCTTTCTGTGGTAATTCTAAGAAGTCGATTTTATTGGTACTATCTTTTTAAGGCGATTAAGAAACACAATGTAAAAAAAACAAATACACGCCTGTGCAATATCAGAAAATTATCATTACAAATAATAAGACGTCTTGATTGTCTTAATCAACGACAGCAGTAAAGCCGACTCTGTGATAGACAACCTGAATAAAAGCCCCAGAATTTGCATAATAGAGCAGATATGCAGAAATGCTCATGTTTGGGGAACTAAGGTGGGGATACACATGACTACATAAACAAAATAAAAATAAAAAACTACTTATTGATGAATAAAAATATAAAAATGATGGAAAGAAATCAAGCAAATATTTATATCAAGTTTTTAAATACATTTATTATGTTATGCTTGCCCTTTATATAATTTTGCTGCTATGATTGTAGTAAAGTCTGCTTTTACTGACTCATTTTATCCTTTCTGTATGGTTTAGGGAGTTTCAGTCTGGCGTCTTTACTGGAATGTGTTAATTTGTAAGGGTTTCTAATAAAGACATGGCAACTGCATGCAACTGATATTGGTTTAATGATAAGAAATGGATTTGCCTTTGTCCTGGCTCAGAAACAGTATTGTGTCATTTGGCCTTTTCTAACATT